GCATTCCTGACAGAAATCTGAAGGCTGATCTCATTTATCTATCTTCTTTCCTCCCCTCCCCCCAAATTTTCAGATTTGTCAACCTTTAAAAACAACAACATTCCTTTAAAAAAATTGTCACCACTTTTTTTTTTTAAAGGAAAAATCCCGTTTAGAAAGACATGCAGAACTACTCCAGGGTCAAGAAAGGAGTCAGGTTACCACAAGCGCTAGCCAATCAGTGCTGGGCTCAGCTGGGTTCTGCCGCAAATTGGCAGAGGTGTTTTCCCCTCTGGCTCAAACTCATATGGGAAACCACACACAGGACGTGGACTTTCACCATTTCTGGGCTTCACAGGCCACACACATCTGTACACCGAGTGCTATAAAACCACCATGTTTTACTGTTTAAACAATATATTAAAATATATGCAACCCTGGCAGAGCCTACCAGAAGTTCTTCCCTTCTTCCCTGCTCTTTATCAGCCTCTTCTCTTGGTCCTCTTGGATAAGGCAGGTGCCCTCTTACCTGCGCAGAATGGAAACCAGCATCATTGCCTGACAGATAATGAAACACCCATGGAGAAAGCTTTCCCTGTTGAATTTCTGTCTAAAGGCAAAGGATTTCTTGCCGGACAAACAGCCGATTTCTTTTGTCACGTTAAGGTTTGCCAAGACAATGACTGGCAACTGACAGGAGACTGGGAAGGGGGATATTTGGGGCACCATCATGTTGACAGAATATGATGTCCTTTCCAGGCCAAACCAGGAAGTGACGCCACGGCACTTTAGAACAGCATGATGTCACTTCCAGGTTTCGCCCACATGTAACCATGACAGTGATTTTTCTACTTTTCTCTCCTTCCAGGCTTCAGAATGGTGGTGGGAGTCTGTTAGGGATGCCAACCTCCAGGCGAGGGCTGGAGATCTCCTGGAATTGCACCTCATCTATTTTTACATCTCATTTCTTACTTATTTATTTATATAAACCATGTGTTAAATTTCTCCCGTAGAAAATGGCTACTCTGGAAGGTGGACTGCATGGCTTTATATCCTGCCGAGGTCCCTCCTCTCCCTAAGCCCCACTCTCCCAGGCTCCACCCTCAAATCTCCAGGCATTTCTAAACTAGCAGCTGGTAGCCCTATCCGGGCTTGTGGTAGGAAGTGTCCCCGCTATACTTGGCAAGCCTATGGCATGCTCTCTACCTCTAAGGGAGGGAGGAAAATGCCAATATGATGCTTAGATACAAGCTAAACCAAACCAAACCAGAACCAACACTGCTTTTCATGCTTTAAAAAAAAAAAAAAGCCACCACGACAAAACAATATCGCCTGTCCTGGTCCCCTTTTGCTTTTATGGCTCCTGGTGAGAAAGCAGAAAAGGGAGCCAAGCTGGGATCCCTGGACAATGCTCTTTCTAACCTTCCCATCAGCCATATTAAAAACCCAAGTTAGCACCAATTTGCATAGCCCCACCCCTTCATCACCATAGCCCTAACCTGGCTTCTTCATCACACTACCGTGTGACAGGAGTGTGAGACAGAATGCTCGGAAATGTCTTGTGTGTGTATAGAGTCCGGAGCATTACAAGTGTGGAGGGGAGAATAAACAACTCTGAGCTGATCCCCCCCCCCTGTAAAGTGCACGTGCATTGGCTCTTTCTTACAAACAGACGTCCACACATACTTGTAGGGTGTAAATGCATTCACTGTAACATGTCAACAGAGCTACCAGCAGTAGAAGAGAGCAAGACTAACAAAATGTGTGGCCGCGCAGAGCTTTCACACGAGCCACTTCTTCAGATAACAGTGACTCATGAAAGCGCATACCCTGCCATAAACTTTGTTACTCTTTAAGGAGCTAGAGAAGTGAGCAGTCTCTCACGGAAGTTCCTACCCTGCCACAGATTTTGTTAATCTTTAAGAGGCAACAAACATGAAATTGAGCAGACTTCAGAGGACGGCGGAAGACAGGAAGGCCCGGCGTGATCTGGTCCATGGGGTCGTGAAGAGCTGGACTCGACTGTGCGACTGAACAACAACAACAAGGTGGTACTGGACTCTTGCTCTTTTCTACTGCTACAGATAGACTAACACGGCGACCCATCTAGGGCTAACAGTGTACATGGTCAGTGAAGAAAGACAGGTCCTGGGCAATGTTCCCTCTAAGCTGTGGAGTCTTGTGAACAAACATTCTACTTTGTGAGCTACTGGCATTAACGTTGTGAGCAAGTGATCTGGCTACTGCATAAATGAGTTGGCTCTTGGGCCATCCTTCCTGAGCTAAGACAAAAATGTGTGAGCCAGAGGCTAAAATGTGAGCTAGCTCACACTAACTCAGCTTAGAGGGAACACTGGTCCTGGGTCTTAGTTTGCGGGAGTACCTAAATTGTTGAAAAAAAAGATGTCAAGCTGAATCCACTATTTGGGTTTCCAGAGAAAAGTGTCTGTTGTAATAAAATGCCTCCTCATCCGTTTTCCAAGTTAGCTTTATTATGCTCAGTCACACAGTATAAAAACGCCTACAGCTTGCAACCACTCCCTCTTCCTACTACTGGTTTATATACAATACTCTTAAAGAAACATACACACAGTGTCCTGTCCCTGTAACAGAGGCTTCATGTGTGGAAATGGGCAACAGGTTTTCAGGGCATGGGGTCAAAACCAGCACCTGATAAGTAGCCTCCTATTAAGACTTTGTTAAAGGGACAGGATTCCCACCCCACCATGCCCTTTGGGCTGCTGGCAACCCAATGCCACCTTGGGATGGGCACGTCTGGTTTGTTTGACCATCATTCCCCAAAAAGTCCTTACAGCGCTCAAACGTCTATATTGATTCATTTATAGTTTTCAGCCTACCTTTACCGGAAACTGGCCTTGAGGTTCTATTGAACTACCAGGATCTCCAGGTATTTGTAGGCAAGGGTGTAGACTTTCCAATTTCCCGGGGGGGGCTGGGGCTGGGCCAGAGGCATTGCTGTGCTAGGAGCAAGGGTGACTCCCGGGGGAGGCTGAGCACTTTCCTGAAAATTTCGGCGGGGGCTGAAGCCCCGCCGCCCCCACGAAGATTACGCCTATGTAATTGTAGTTTAGCACTCTTTGCATAGTTGCAGGAGTCAAACTCCGGAAGATCCCCCGCTTGGTAAGCTCTGCCTAGGGTCAAATTCTGCCCTCCCCCCGATCAAAATACCCAAACCTCCAAAAATGCATTTCCAAGCAAGGCGACAACATTAAACAGACCCCCTTAGCCTGCCCTTACCTGCCCAGTTCCCAAGGCAGCCATCTCCCTTGATCCGGAGTTACACTGGATATGCTTTGTTTACACTGCTTTGGAGCACGGCCGGGAGGGGAGAGGTTTCAGGAGGGGTTTTCAGTTAAACCAGGAGGTGTCCTAAAAGTGCTTCCACCATCGCGGGGCAGCCCCCTGCAGTGGGGTCCAGCGCACAGCTCTGCCCAAGTGGGTCC